CTACTAAAATATCATGTTCAAGACTCGTTTGTGTAAAGACCCTTCTTAACTAAAGTCAAAACATTTCTGAAGTTGTGCAAACTTCTCTGAACAAGAATGCTTCTTTCATAAAAATATACTTAATGTGAAGGAATCAATTCATCAATTAGAGAATAATGAAGTAGAAAAATAGAAAGAACTATCCACTTATTTTGTAAAATAGGAAGTTATCCAATGGAAACAACTCATTCAGTTCATATGCTTTAGAAGAAGACATAAGATACTTTGTTACAACAAAAGAAAATGTTTAGTACAAAGTACAAAAGAAACCAGTTGGTCATCCTCTTTGACAATACTATATTCTCTCTCTTTCATTAGAAACCTTCAACAAAATAAAATCAAGTTTAAGACACTTGATAAGTACAAGATGAAATCAAGTTGAAAAGAATACAAAATCTTAATGGATATTAATTTCAAGAAGAAATATTGGCATAACTTAAACCACTACATTAACTGCCCCATTTATAAATAGCCCCAACTTTTGAAGAACAGATGAATATTCGAGAATACATAAAGAAACTGAATATCGTTTAAAGCTCTCATATTTCAAACATCATGTTCATATTGTATTTAATAGTGCCAAGCTATATTGAGAAATTGCATTTAATCATTTGCTATTAAATTCACAGTTTTTCTCTTTCATATTTATTTCATTCCTTGAGTGTGATTGAAAGACTTATAAAGTTGTAATCAGACTTTTAACACATGCCATTATTTAATGTTGACCCTAGAGAGGCTAGGTGTGCAACCAATACTTAATTTGTTAAAATTCAAGAGGCTAGAAGTGAAAATAATATTTGTTATGTTATGCCTGGGAGGCTAGATGTGCAAAGAATACCTATTGTTATAATTAATTTTGGATTAAAGTGGAAGCTTGGCGCTATCAAGAAACTATATGTAGCTTATACTTTTTGGAGAACCAATATAAAAAGTCTAAGTCTAAAATCTGTATGATGAACCAATATATATTTTGCCCAAGATTTTGTTCAATTTTTTATAATTGTTTTTTTAATTTGGGTATTTTGATTTTGTGCTATCAACGGTTCTTCTCACAAGCTTCATTTAAATCTCTTTTATCATGTCACAAAATAGAGAAACAATGAATTGTCTTAACTGTTTTGTGATAAAAAAAATTATTTATGTCAACAAAGTTTTAATGTTTATTTTAAACTTGGGAAACAAAATTCAACACCCTTCTTGTGCTAATTTTGGTTATTTTAGTTGGTATCAGAGCTTAACCTCTGGATTAAACACCTGACATTTTAGAGGAAAAGATCCATGAATATAGCAAGAGTAATTAGCAACAACATAAGTTACACTTAAGAAGGATCCTCAATGACAAGACCTCCATATTTTAAAATGAGAAAGGTTTCTCTGAACAGAATGAACTGTTTACAAGGTTAAGCGGAGAGAATGGAATCTTTCACAATTTCTCATCACCAATAACTCCCAATAAAATGATGTTGTTAAAAGAAAGAATAGATCACTACAAGAAATATGTAGATCCATGTTAAAAGAAAACAATCAATCTAAATATCTCTCGGTTGAGGCTATAAACATTGCATGTTACTTGCATAACAAAATATTGGTAAGACCTTTGTTAAACAAAATTCCATATAAACTATGGAAAGGTAGACAACCAATATTTCTTATTTTCATGCCTTACGATCTAAATGCTATATGGCGAATACAAAGGATCTAAGGTGTACACTTTATAACTCTCTTCTTTAAGAGAACTAAGTAGTTTTGACTTCCTATTAAGAATACATATATAGTTTGAATGTATATCTTATTCACTTAATGGTAAAAGAATACATATACATATATATAGTATAAAGGAAGACCCTATAATCAAACTATATCACAAATCAATCTAATTGATTTGTCTATATAATTTACAGATGTAAAATCTCTAAATTATAGGAAATAATAATAACCAAATATCTCAACACTCTCCCTCAAGTTGGTGCATAGATATCACACATGCCCAACTTGTCTAAAAACTTTAAGAACACTCGACTTGAAATTGTTTTAGTCAGGATATGTAATGTCCCAAAAATACATATAATAAAATTTTCAATTCTACCAATTATAATTCTAGTATTTAGTTATTTCTTAAAAAAAAGGTTTAACGATCAATAAGACCTCCCTCGATTTGGCATGCATTAGCCTAATAACTTCCAAAATATTCTATCCATGCTCTTACAGTTAATATCACTAAAAGTTATTTAACAACAGTCAATTACTAGGAGAAATCCCCAAACTACATGATAGGATCCCTCAAGGAATTACACACATAAATTCAATGCTACGTTCCTTCATCCAAAATAAACTAAAGCTACATTTCAAATGCGATCTTTTACTCCTCAGCTGCACCTACTGTAAGGACCCAAATTCTACCCTCGAAATTTTTTCATTTATTTTAATTATTTCTACTTGATTTCCCCATGTTACATCATACATACATTTCTTTTAATCTTTAAATCATCCATTTCTTTAGTTATCTCATAACTCTAAACATACAATTTCAGTTTCATACCGTAACTACCCTTAATCGTAGAAAAACATAATTCGCATATATATATATATATATATATATATATCATGGGTCTTCATATGTTAAGTTGAAGGGTTGCAAAATTAATGTGCCCATAGTTACAATTAAAGTCAACAAATATTCAGGTAGTACAAAGATAATTAAAATTATAGAGTTTGCTCATCAAAGTCTCTAAAACTCCTAATGAAGCATCTCTAATCATCCGTTTACCTGCAATGAGATTAACATTGACAAATACACAAAGAAACACAAAGGAGTAAGTCGTTAAAATGTCATTATATGTTAATCCACATTTCATTAGTATTAAGTAAACAATTTAACATAATAATACTTAAAACCATTAAATCGTGCTACATAACTTTAGCCAAAGTTTGCTACATAGCTTGAGCAAAAACTTGTTACATAGCTTGAGCCAAAGCTTATTACATCACTTGAGCCAAAGCTTGCTACATAGCTTGAGCCAAAGCTTGCTACATTATTTGAGCCAAAGTTTGCTACATTACTTGAGCCAAAGTTTGCTACATAGCTTGAGACAAGCTTGTTACATTACTTGAGCCAAAGTTTGCTACATTACTTGAGTCAAAGTTTGCTACATAGCTTGAGGCAAAGCTTGCTACATTACTTGAGCCAAAGTTTGCTACATTACTTGAGCCAAAGCTTGCTACATAGTTTGAGACAAAGTCGTTACACCACTTGAGGGTAGCCAAAAATATGTTTTATTTTCATTGATTCACAATCAATTTATAACCAGAAAATCCACGCATTTTCTTATACAATGTACAAGTTAAAGACTTATTCTTACCTTGGTGAGTGTTGGAGTCAGTTTTGGGTAACTTTACAAGTTTCTTTCGCTACCTCCTCCAACCTTAGGATTTTTCCTTATCCCCACCAAACAACAACAAAAATTAGTAATTTATTCCCAATAATATATACACAATTCATATTACATTACCAAATATATATGATATTCACATATTTCCAATGTTTCCAAAACTACTTTCATTAGAAGTTCCCAAACATTAAAACATACATATTTCATCTTCTATTTTACATTAGAACACCTTCTCATCTTTTACATCTACCATTTCACCTATTTTCCTCTTTAACCACATTTTCATTTTGGGGGTTTTGGGGTTTTCATGAATCAACCCACTCACCATTTCTATTCTTCGAATATCAACTCTAAACTAAGAGTTTACAAGAGAGAAACTAAATAAAACGAACCACAACTCAAAAGGAATAGTTTACATGGTTTCTCACATTTTGAGAAGAGATCCCATACATCCAAAACAAGTTTGAAATGAAAGAAGAGAGTTAGAATTAAGAGATTTACCTCTTCTCAAGCCTCTAGATGATTCTCAGGAACCCTTTCTCTTGAAAATGCTCTCTTCTCTCCATTCTCTCCAAATTTCTAACCCTAAAAGTGTTTGGGGTTTCTATTTTAAAGTTGAATCGTCGGGTTCTTGCTCAAGCGAGATTATCCCGCCCATTTTAAAAACTCAACACTGACGCTCTCGCTCAAGCGAGAATCCTTCAGTGTCCACACCTCTTTCCCTCGCCCAGACGAGCAATATCTCACCCAGGCAAGAATCCCAGGAAATCTTGGGAGCAGATACCGAGCCTCTCGCTTGGGCGAGACCCTCTCGCTCAAGCGAGAAACACCTAGTATACCCCAGATTCCTAGAATTTTTACCACACTTAGGAAAATAAAATTAGGGTGTTACACTTGTAACGCCCGTAATTTTCTATTTTATGTGTGAGTTAAAAATCTTGATTTTTTTTTTTGTAAATTTATCTTAATAAAAATATGATTTTTAGATGAGTAATTCATCTTTGAATGATTATCCAAAAAACTTTATGATTTAGTACTATTTTGAAAACAAGTTACTTCATTGATAATCTTGTTTTGAAGTAAACCTTTATCCTCTAAGAATTAGATTTATTTCAAAAATATAGATATAGGTAAAGAGTGCACTTTATTATATTATCGAAGTACTCACATACTTTATTTTGAATAGATGGTAATTTTTCATTAAACACGGGTATTTATCTTTTGGTAAATAATTTAGTGAATAATATACTTTATGATATTTATCTTTGATAACATTATCTTATTTTGATTTGAATAGTTATGTTTATCATAATATTTATCCTAAAATATTTGGATTAGATTATCACACGTTTATCTTTTAATAATTTTATCCATAATTATCCAACACTTATCACATTATTAATATATATAAATTATAGTTACAATTATGATGTATGTTATTATAATACAAAATAAAATCCTATAATAACCTATTCGTTACTTTCTATCCTATATATATATCTAATATAATTAGTTTATTATTATTATTATTATATATATATATATATATTAACACTCTATATCCCTTGTCCATCTATTTCTCAAAATTCCTCTCCTTCTTAAATCTTCTCTCCATTGTTTTTGTTTCATTCACTCCTGGACACTTCTCAATCTCTCTTCCCACATGCCTTTTCATCTCCAAATTTCCTCTCCAGCAAACTCATGTTTCACCCTTTATTTTGATGACAGTAGACAAAGAAGGTAAGATAATTATTTCATTTCTTTCAATCATCTTTCTTTGTTTATATTGGGTTTTAGCATCTCACACGTTGATTATTTCTCTGGTCATTATTTCGCATTAGGCTAAGATTATGACATGAACTCTTCATTTCTGTTGCTCTAACATATGAGTGTTACTTGGTTCATAGAAGTCACAAGTAATGTTATTATTGTTATTTACTTGGTTCCTAAAAATTCTAGACTAATTATGGAGTCTCTGAATGTTGAAGATTCTCATTTGTTTAACCACCCTCTTTCACTATTTTTCACTTTGACACTAAGGGCATCAATTCATTTGCTTTATTAAGAATTTAATATACACTTATTGGAATCTTGCGCGTCTTTTGCAAGTAGGGAATTAATTGCTTGCAATTTTTAGTTTATCATCTGATGGTTGGAATAGCAATTTCCCTCTGTTTTTCTATTATAAAAAAAACCTGGCTAACTAAAATGTATTAAATAAATACCTTGTTAACCAATATATCTGTTGTAATATATATTACTATTACTATTATTTCAGGCCCTCAATTACTTAGATTTTTTTATCCTACTTTAAGATTTAGTTTTAAAGTAGCAGAATTTGGATTTTTGTAGAAGTATAACCCTGTTGTATGCCTTTTAATTTTGAAATCTGCTTGAATCTTTGGGTTGTTTGAATTGAATGTTATTTCATTGTTTGATAAAGTGATGATACTTTGGTCAAGTGGATGCTAGCTGTGACACTCATGATGGTGCAACAAGTTGAAATTATGATGAAATAAAGCGGCTAAGGTGAGAGAGAAGACCATTGTGGTCATAGGGTATTTCATTAGAGTCATTTTCTCCGATTTCCCTCAAGAATCGGAGAATATTAACGGATAGAAACTCTCTTGGAAGTTTGTGGTCCATGTGAGAGTCTTGTATTAGCTATAAATGAGGAAACATATGTTCACTTATGGGTAATATACTGTCATGAAAGATGGTTCTATCGTTAGTATGTTATATGATGATAAATATGTTATGAGTTGTTTACTTGTGATAAAAAGATATGAGTATCTTTATGTTAATGATTGTATTATGAGCTGTTTATTGGCGATAAATGAACATGAATATGTTGTATGATAATAATTGTGTTGTGAGTGAGCTATTTATATATAGTAAAGAATGGGATGAGTATGATTATTATTTTGACATGGTTGTAGTGGTGGGTATTATGGTGGAATATGATGTAAGGGAATTATTTAAATTATATATGATGTTATAAAATGCGTGGATTTTCTGATTGTATATGATTGTGAAACAATGGGAAGAAAATCTATTTTTAGCTCCCTTAAGAGGATGAGCAATGAATGACTTGCCCTATGTGGTATTGTGAATGACTTGCCCTATGTGGTATTGTGAATGACTTGCCCTATGTGGTATTGTGAATGACTTGCCCTATGTAGTATTGACTCTTTGAGCAATGAATGATTAGCCATTTGGATGTTGTGTTGGTTTGATAACATTGTGTCGCTTGGGAAAGTATTTTAATGCTATGTAAGTTTGGTATGATTTGAGTATTGCATTGTTGTTATTTATTGAAAAAGGAGACTATTGTATGATGATCTTGATGAAGATTGAGTTGTATTAAATGGTATGTTGCACCGATTGGGTAAATGGTCTAGGTTAGACATGATTCCTATGTTAATTGGATATATGAACATTATGTGGTTTATTGTATTAATTGATATATGTTTAATATGCTTGATTTTAGAAGTTATGTACGATGTAATACTTTAATGTTATTATTCTATGTAATTCCACGCTACAGTCATCGTAGTCGGTTCTTACTTCCTTTTTGTCTCTGTTTGTATGTGTTATGTATTGGAATTCAGGTGGTGATTGTAGCGTATTGGATGCTGGTGGAGAAGGACATAGAATAGAGTAATTTACCTTGTATAATTAATATGATATTTGATTAATGTATGTAATATGAGAACTATGTAAAATTAATTCTTTTGTGAAATGAGACTTCTCCTAAGTGTATATTGAAGTTGGTTTGACGATTGTAATAAGAGTATTATTTGATAAAGGATAAATGTATAGAATATGGATTTAAGATGAAATGTAATGACATGTCTTGATGAAAGAGGACTATTGATTATTTCCGCGTTTTTGAACTATGTACTTAACTAATATTGTACTTGCTCAGGTTTTCCAAATCGATTAAGTGACATCGTTCAAAAGTAATCACTTCACTTACATGAATAAAGTTTTAAAGAATTTTTGGGTTATGAATATCGGGTCCTTACAACACCTGCCAACCGATTATAACAAGTAGAACAGACAAGCAACACAACGGGAGTAAGACATTTAATCTTGTAATAATCAACAATATAGATTGATACATAATCATAAACAATAGAGTTATAGAAATAGATAGGATATGAATAAACAATTATAAAAGTTAATACTTACTACCTCGATCATCATCGCATATAATACATTTCTGGTCGCCTTCACATCATATCCTCAACCTTATCGTCACACAACTTACCATGTCCAGAGTAACACCATGCCCGAAGGCACTTCAATATCCATATACTTAGTTAATCCGCTTAAAATAATACATCACTTAGGGTACTTCACAACCACTTAGGGCGATTACAATACCACTTAGGGCGATACAATATCACTTAGGGCAATCCAATACCACATAGGGTAATTGAACACCACTTAGGGCGAAACAATACCACTTAGGGCAATTCAACACCACTTAGGGCGATTACAACACCACTTAGGGTGACTCAATACCACATAGGGCAATTACAACACCACTTAGTGCGATTACAACACCACTTAGGGAAATTCAATACCTCATAGGGCAATTACAACACCACTTAGGGCAATTACAACACCACTTAGGGCAATTCAATACCACTTAGGGCAATTCAATACCACATAGGGCAATTACAACACCACTTAGGGCGATACCATACAAGTTCTCAATAAATAAATCATTAATGTCTATTCATATAGAAACGTACTAAAAACCACTACCATCATGTTCTATCATTAATAGGTGTAATGTTTCTCCCTTACTTGAGTATAGGTTATCGCTTTTGTCCTGCAACCTCACTAGATTCTCCTCTGTCTCCTCCAACCTTAGGATCTTTCCTCATTCATATGACACAACAATAACACAATTATTTACTCATACCATATCAACAAATAATCTCATAAACGGAACAAGTTTGACATTATCAAGATTCGAAATCACTAACTACTCGAAGTTTTAAAGCATTCAAATATAGGTTTGTTTCCCTTTTCAAGAAAACATCACAAACTCACAAACTCCATCTCTAACCCCCATCTTTTACCCCTATTAACAACTATTCCATATTAGTCGATAATTTCCAAAATCAACACTAAACCAATAACATTTTAAAAAACAAACCCCAAACCACAAGTTTCAAAAGGAATGTTAAATGAAGAACAAACTACAACCCAAAAAGAAAGGGTTATGATGTTTTTCACATTTAGAGAAGAGATCCATATATCCAAGAAGGGGTTGCGCAACAAGGGTGAGTGTTAGAACTAAGAGATTTACCTCTTCTCAAGCTTTTCTTCTGTTTCTTCAAGTTCTAGGGGTGGGGAGCCGCTTCTCCTTCTATTTCTTTTGTTAAAAAGTGACCCAAAACTCACTTGGGGCTTCTATTTAGGTTACAGATTCCCGGGCTCTCGCTTGGGCGAGAGGCATTCGACGGTCCATATTTTCAAACTCTGATGTTGTCGCTTGAGCGACAGTCCCTCGCTCGGGCGAGAAGTAGACATAGATTTCTCATCTCTGTCGCTTGGGCGACCTCCCTCTCGCTTAGGCGAGAGTCACAGGTGCCAAATGGAATTGAAACTCAGAATTCTAGCTTGAGCGAGCCCCTCACGCTCGGGCGAGAATTACACAGAAACTAGACATTATATTTGATATACTACTTATTTTGTGTGTGGAAAATCGGGGTGTTATAGGATATCTGCCAACTGATCTTCTGATCGAATTTTAGGAAGCTCCACAATTTTCTCATCCAGCTTCTCCTTAATGAAAAATCTGTCTACCTCTACATGCTTTGTACGATCATCTTGAACCGGATTATGAGCTATGTCAAACGCTGCTTTATTGTCACAATATAGTCGAATTGGTTGCTTAGGTGGGTAGCCCAAATCCACTATGAGAAGTCTTAGCCATAATGTTTCACATACTCCAAATGTCACACCTCTAAATTCAGCCTCTGCACTTGAACGTGCAGCAACATTCTGCTTTTTACTTTTTCTTGTAACGGGGTTACCACCTATAAAGGTGAAATAACATGAAGTAGAACGTCTATCATCTATCGCTCCAGCCCAATCAGCATCCGTGTATGCATCCACGCTTTGATGATCTACATTTTTAGTGAATAATATTCCTTTCCCAAGAGAAGACTTCAAATACATCAAGCTGCGCATAAGTGCATTCATATGTTGCTCTTAAGGATTATGCATAAATTGACTAATAATACTCAATGCATAAGCAAGATTCGGCCTAGTGTGGGCTAAGTACTTCAATCTCCTTACTAGTCTTTGGTATCTCCCTTTATTAACAAGTACCTGATTAGACTCGACACATAACTTCAATCCTTCTTCTATTGGTGTATTGGCAGGTTGACATGCTGATATGCCAGTTTCTTGTGATAAGTTTAAGGTCCATTTTCTTTGAGAGAGAAAAATTCCTTTATTAGATCGAGTCACTTCATTTACAAGGAAAAATTTCAAAGAACCATGGTCTTTCATTTCAAATTCCCTAGACAAGTAACTTTGTAAAGCAACCATTTCCACATGATCATTTCTTGTAACCACCATGTCATCCACATATACAATAAGTGTAGTGATATTACCACGTTGTTTCTTTAAGAATAAAGTGTGGTATGCATTGCTCTAACGGTACCCAAAAGCTTTCATAGATTTTGTAAATCTTCCAAACCATGTTCTCAGAAATTGTTTCAACCCATACATTGACTTCTTTAATTTGCACACCTTTTTTCTATGGGTTTCTAGTATCATGTATTCTAGAGGGAGATCCATGTAGACTTCTTCAGAAAAATTCCCATGTAGAAAGGCATTCTTCACATCAAACTGTTGTAGTGGACATTCGAAGTTGGCCGCTAGAGACAACAAGACTCATACTGTGTTGATTTTAGCCACCAATCTTGCTTTAAAGCGTTCAATTGTACCATCTTCTTGATACTTCACAGTATAAACCCACCGACATCCAACTGGTTTCTTTCCTGGTGGTCAATCAACAATTTCCCAAGTCTTATTTTTCAGCAAGGAATTAATCTCCTCATTCATAGCAACTTTCCACCTTGTGTCAGCTAAGACTTTCTGCACACTGTTAGGAATATATGCAATAAATAATTGATTTACAAAAAATTGATTTAATTCTGACAAGTGATGGTTAGACACATAACAACTCATAGGATATTTAACTTTATTAGAAAGTTCAGGTTCATATGTGGCTTTAGGGATACCTCTAGTGCAACATGGTGGTAGTTGTTTTCTAGATGGTTCAGACTCCAAATCAGGAACATCTTTAGCAGGCGATTGGTTTGCTTGTGGTACTAGTAATTCGGATGAAGATGGAGCCAATATTGTTGCAGATTCTGAATGTTCATCACCACCTTCATCCAAAGTTGCACTACTCATATTTAATTCACTCAGATTACCATAGTCAATACTAGATTCAGAGAGCTCCCCTCTAGATTCAAAGAATTCTTCTTCTTTAGTGACTTCCCTTTCTACGGATACATGAAAAATATAGTCTAGAGTCAGAACTTCTTCCTGATTCTGCCCCTGAAGTTGAGGCTCACAAGAAAAATACATCGAGTGTTCATGAAAAACTACATTTAATGTAACAAACATTTTTTGAGTTGGAGGATGATAACATCGATATCCCTTTTGATAAGCTGCGTACCCTACGAAAACACATTGCAATGCTCAAGGATATAACTTGTTACTTTGATGCTTATTGAAATGTACAAAAGTTACACAACCAAAGACACGAGGAGATAAGTTTGGAACAATAGGAGGAACAATGGCTTCAACAAGGGATTGGGATGGTGTTTGAAATTCAATAGTGCTAGAAGGTACCCGATTAATCAAGTATGTTGCAGTTGTAAGTGCTTCTCCTCAATATGATAATGGCATATGGGCTTCTATCAATAAAGCACAAACAACTTCTAATAAATGACGATTTTTCCGCTCAGCCACCCCATTTTGTTGTGGTGTTGGGACAAGTAGTTTGATGAACAATCTCATGTGCTTCCAGATATTGTTGAAATTCAGAACTCAAATATTCACATCCATTATCACTTCGAAGAACCTGAACCTGTGCATTGTACTGAGTGCAGGCCATTTTATGAAAAAATTTAAATAAAAAATACACTTCACTTTTGGATTTCATCAAGTACATCCAAGTCATCCTAGTACGATCATCGATAAAAGTAACAAACCAATGTGATCCACCAAGAGTTGTGACCTTAGATGGACCCCAAACATCAAAATTTATAACCATAAAGGGAAGATGACTTTTATTCAAAATTAATGGAAATGATGTACGATGGCTTTTTACAAGTTCACAAACATCACAACGGAAGCTAGAAACACCAAAATTTATAAATAAACTAGGAAATAATTTCTTAAGATAACGAAAAGAGACATGTCCAAGACGTCGATGCCACAACCAAATGTCAGATTTCTTCTTCCCCCTAATTATTATTCACTATCAATGCTTGAAGCAACTTGTCCGAACTCTTTGACTCTAAGTCCAAGTTATAGAGCTTTCCACGCCTAGTACCACAACCAATTGTCTACCTTGTTTGGATGTCCTTAAAAACACAAAATTTAGACCAAAAAATTACAACACAAAATAAGGTAGTGGTAATTTGGGAAACTGATAAAAGATTATAGTCCAAGGATGGAACAACTAAAACAAAATCTAAATTCAAAGTATCAACGAGGGGCAAAGATCATTCTCCAATAACAGGGGTTGAGGCACCATCGGCTGAAGCTTCATAATTTTCAGGCTCTCCTTTCAATGTTGTGTGTCGAACAAATTCTCTACGGACCAGTGCATAACATT